CTGAGTGTATGAGAAGCGACCGGACCATATCTAATAAGGTCCTATTCCTCATCTCTGAAACAGTATTAAGTTGTGGTGTAGCAGGAGGAGCTAATTGTGATACTATCCCATTGTCCTTTAAGTAGTCCCTGAATTCGTCAGAGAGATACTCACCACCTCGATCTGATCGTCAGAGAGATACTATCCCATTCTCCTAAAAACACATGCAGTAGTGCGAGTAAGGATCGTTCCCACAAAGAGTATCTAGCCTAGTTTTTGTGCTGCATGAATTGGAGGGGGGGGGGGACAGGTTTGACTATAATGAAAACCAGATTTAAAAAGAAAGAAAATCAAATGAGGAGCAATGCAAATCAAAGTACCGAAATTAATCAAAGGAACAAATCTTGGTCTAAGTCAACATCCACCATCTGAATTTCGCTACTGATCATCGATGCAAAGATATATCAATTCACACTTTGAATATTCACCGTAAGAATTATTTTCCTATCTCTCCTTAGTTGCAGTTAATTAGAAAACAAGCGATCTACTTAACCCTTACTACTAAATAACCCGAAACAAGCATTCAAGATTTAATCTAGTACCAGCCTTAAGAATTGGAGATTGATGAAGTTAAACAACACAAGGACAAGCGGTTGCATTTAATTTAGTCGAGTGTTCTTCCTAAGATCTAACAATTTCTGACGTAGCAAATCATTAAACCCTAGTTGCTTCTCTGATTAGAGGGATTAAATAATTGCGGATCTGATATCTAACCGAGTAGTAGATTGCAACGAATAATAAACTAGTAGGCCTCCTAATGATCAGACGAAACAATCGTGAACATAAACATAGAAGAACATTTGATATTCAAAGCATAAATCAAACAGTAAAAATTATTTTTTTCAACCAAGTATCAGAATTTAGCCACGCATGGTCATGATGAAAACTCAAGGAAGAATTGGAGAAGAAGAAGAGAGGTGCGGCAGCTCAAGTCTGATTATTTTTTTTCTTGTTTTCCTTCTCTTCTTTTCTTTTCTCTCTACTTTCCATTCCCCAATAGAAGCCTACAAAATCTCCTAAAATTTCTCTCTAGATAATAGTCTCCACGTCTGACTTATCAAGAAAAATATTAAAAATTAGATAAAACAAAGTTCTAATGCAAGTGGAAGAGTGGTGATTTCCGCATATGAAAACTTGTAGGCTAAGGAACGTTTCCAGCACGTCAGCAGTGCGGTTGTAGCTACTTCGAGCCCGATTTAGACCTTGATGCATTCCATATTTCTCAAAACTCAAACCATGAAAGTTGTAGAGATTTTCCTTATCGTTCTAAATCATCTTGAATCATCCCAATCGGAGATTGGATGAGAGTGTTATGTCCAGATTACGAAGCGATGCCGAAACTGTCCAAAATTGTCCAATTAGCTCCGTTTTTCACTTAACGCCTCCAATTGTGCCTAAATCAAAATATAAGAATAATGAGTCCATTTAGGTACTAAATAAGTATAAAAGACTAAACATTAAGGGAGAAAAATAGGATATTTTGCATTCTCATCAAATCCCCCCACACTTAGCTTTTGCTCATCCTCGGGCAAAATTCGAATTCACTTTCCCAAAAACACCAAGGTTACAATGCCATCAGTAAGGAACAACCAAGCTCTTCAATATTCATAACTTATCATGAGCAAACATTTTTAACAACTTTCAATTACTTAGTAAGCACTTTCACTCGAAGATGGAATGAACTAAATACATAGACCCTCACGGAAATAAACACTCTACTCTCATGTATTTTAAGGGTATATGTTTCACTCAAATTCATTCAAATGGAAATGATCTACCATAGGCTTGCATATCTTCTCATTCTCCACCACTGGGATCACATGCATAACACGAATCAAAAGGACTTTTCAAGGGTTGTAACGGGGCTTAGGATCAAAGTGGGAAATATTTGTGAATGTAGCTCAAAAGCCATTGAAACTAGTGGAACAAAAATGAATCATCTAAAGCTTGAAAGTATAAGACATGTAAAACCAATCATTCCATTCAGCAACTTCTTCAATTTTGCTTTAATGCATTTAAACCATGTAAAACTTCTACATTGGAAAAGAGATTGTTCGAAAGAGCACCTTTCGCTTGCAGCAGGGAACAATCATTTGCAACAGTTTCCACCTTTGTATATATATATAAGCGGTCCCCCTTTTCTTGGAACTTTTGCAGGAACATAGATAATTTGTAACATCAAAAGCAATTTCCTCCATTCCTTCCTTACTTCTTTACTTATTTTTTTTTCAAAAAAACAATGAAACTCACAAATTGAGAACGAAAACATGTTCCATTTCACCGGTTATAAGCCACATCACAAATCTAGACACCCCACACCCATTTCTTGCACACCCACACATATCATAATGATGAACAATACTCCACTAGCTCTACGGCTTGGGTAAGGGTATTATTTTTTTCTCGGGTTTAAAGCTTGTAACATGGGTTCACAATGAACGACAAAGGTCAATAAAACTCAAAGGGGTTCAACAAAGGGGATAATTTATCACAAGGTAGGCTATTTGGCTTATGTAGCTTATAACAAAAAGGGCCTTAATTATGTTCATGCATGCATGTGTCAATATGATCTTGAAGAGAATCAAGGCAAGTTCTAGAGAAACAAATCCATAGAAGAATATCTCACATGAAATAAAATAGTGAGACTTATATGGATGTGTCAGTCTAAAGGCTCAAGATCTCACCAGCTTTTGTCTACAAAATTTAGTCACTACCATTCTCAAGGAAAATAACTAGACTAATTAATTCTAAATTGGAAGATTACTTATCCAATCATGTTATGAGCTTTTCAAACTTAATTGAATCTTGCTCATGGCATATACAACCTAAAAAAAAATTGTTGAAAACCTAAAAACAAAGAGCAAAACTTCTTTTTTTTTTTCAAAAAAAATGCAGAATTAAAAAAAAAAACAGAATTAAAACACAACCTAAATCCCCTCCCCCACACTTAAAACTTACATTGTCCCCAATGTAAGGTGAAATGCAACGAAAGGGAAAAAATAACCAAAATATAAATGCAAAAATATGAAGAGAAAGAAAAAAATGAACTTCCCTTTTTTAATCAGCAAAAATCAGATCTTCAAGGTCCAATTGTTCCACGTTCTCTACTTGGAAGCCTTCATAAAAATGCTTGAGTCTATGGCCATTCATCATGAACGCTTTGGAAGTTGTTAGAATTTGAATTTTAACTACACCATGAGGAAAAACATTAGTAACAACAAAGGGTCCAATCCAACGAGAATGCAACTTACCCGGAAACAAATGAAGTCGTGAATGGTAAAATTTTGACCAACTTTAAACTCCTTCCTAGAGATCATCTTGTCATGAAAAGCTTCGTCTTTTCCTTGTAAATCCTTGCACTTTCATAAGCATCATTGCGAATTTCCTCTAACTCTTGTAGTTGCAACTTCTTGTGTTTTCCCCTTTCATTCATCATGGGTGGGTTCAATCTTCTTTGTGGTTGATGGGAAGGCTTTGCTCCCTCTTCAAGTAAGATACGATGCATGCATGTAGACGGGCTGATTCCTTTAATATCCGCAACTATCCATCCAATAGCCGTCTTATGCTCCTTAAGGACCTGCACAAGCTTTTCTTCTTGTGGTGTGCTAAGGCTACTGGAGATGATCACTGGTAACATCCCTTCATCTCCAAGAAACACATACTTGAGGTGACTGGGGCGAGGCTTCAAATCTGGAATAGGGGCCTGCAAAACAGAGGGTAAAGGTCTCCCATTAGAAATTGGTAACATAATATAAGGAATGTTACTTGACTGTTGTAACTCCGGAGAATCATTTAACGCTGCAACAATTTCCTGCAAATGAGAACTCAATGTTAACTCCTCTTTCTCAAGATGCTTACTAATGGAAATTTCCAATCCATCTTTCTCATCAATGTCAAAAACTTCATGTGCTAAAGAATCAATCATATCTATAGAATAAATAGGATTATCATCTCTACGATATTCCATGGCATCATAAATATTAAACTTAACAATTTCACCATCAACTTCCAAGGTAAGTGTGCCACTATTAACATCTATCTTAGTCTTGGATGTTTTTAAGAATGGTTTTCCTAACAAAATAGGAGTGGTTTGATCACCATTATCCATATCAAGCACGTAAAAATCAACAGGGAAAACCAAATCATTAACTTTCACAAGAACATCCTCAACAACACCCTTAGGATATGCATTAGATCTATCAGCCAATTGAATCACAACACCAGTTTTATTCAAAGGTCCAAGTTTCCAAGAAGCATATATAGAATATGGCATGACATTGATAGAAACTCCTAAGTCTAACATGGCCTTTTCAATTCTAGTGTTACCTATCATGCAAGGGATAGTAAACATACCTGGATCTTTGCACTTTACAGGGAGTTTTCTTTGAATAACTGCATAAACATTCTCCCATACTCTCAGTTTCTCACATCCTTTCAGTTTTTGTTTCCTCTTATGTGTACACAGTTCTTTCAGGAATTTAGCATAACAAGGTACTTGTTTAGTAGCATCTAAAAGTGGAATATTTACCTCGCATCTATGAAAAGCCTCATAAAATTCTTTAAATTGCTCATCTTTTCTAAAATATACTAAAGCCTGAGGAAAATGAGGTACTGGTTTATAATCAGAAAGAGGTGGAAACTTACATTTAGGTATGTCATCATCATTGGGAATGTTCCCGTCTGCAATGACATTTTTCTCCTTTTCTTGCTTCGACGATGCAGGGGCTACCTTTGCTGGAATCTCAACCTCTTTACCACTTCTCAAAATGATTGCATTTACATTTTCTCTTGGATTCACAACCATTTGAGAGGGTAATTTTCCTGAACTTTGTGCCTCTAACCGACTAATTGCGGTTGCCATCTGGCCCATCTGATTATCCAAACATTGAATATTGGCCCTCGCCTCTTGTTGAAATTGTTTCGTCTCTTGTTGAAATTGCAAAGTATTAGTGGCAAGAGATTTAATAATATCTTCTAAGACATACCGGAATTAGAAGTTTGGCCCGGTTGTTGTCTAGGGGGGTACGATTGCTGATATTGTGGGAAACTTGGGCAGTTATGAGTCATGGGTTGATTCACTTGTGGATTTCCATAGTTGAGATTGGGGTGATCCCTCCATCATGGATTATATGTGCTCGAATAGGGATCATACTTCCTTTGCGGTTGCCCCGGAAAACCACCTGCCACATTTACCTGTTCAATGGGCTCTTCTTGAAGAGTTGGGCATATATCGGTTGGATGCCCTACCACCAAACAAATCCCACAAGCCTTCGCCGTTTGCATATTACCTATAGCCATTTGACGAACAAGAGAAGTTAGACTCGCAAATCTGTTGTTCAAGGGAAGAGATATTTACCTCATTAACATGCTTTGATGGAGGGTCAAGCCTAGTGCCAAATTGTTGAGAATTGGCCGCCATATTTGCAATCAAATTTCTCGCGGCCTCGGGAGTTTTATCCACCAAAGCTCCTCCACTAGTAGCATCAATCATGCTCCTATTAGTGGGTTGAAGACCCTCATAGAAATACTGGATAAGTAGCTGCTCACTAATCAGATGATGGGGGCAGCTTGCACATAATTTCTTAAAACGTTCCTAGTATTCATGTAGGGACTCTCCGCTATACTGCCTTACACCACAAATTTGTTTTCTAATGTTGGCCGCCCTTAAAACTGAGAAGTACTTTTCCAAAAATAACCTCTTCATCTCGTTCCATGTGATAATACTCCCAGAGGGTAGATAATAGAGCCAATTCTTAGCCGAATCCTTCAAAGAAAATGGAAAGACTCTTAATTTAATTTGCTCTTTAGTCACCCCTGTGGGTTTCATACTCGTGCATATCACATGAAGCTTCTTTAGATGCTTGTGAAAATCTTCACTTGCAAAACCATGAAAAGTGGGCAAGAGATGTATCAATCCAGATTTTAATTCAAAAGTAGCAGTAGCATCTAAAGCAGGAAACGTTATGCATAAGGGTTGTTGATTCAAATCAGGGGCGACAAGCTTTTTTGAAGTTCGATTTCCAGCCATGATTTCCTCCTCTCTCAAATTAGAACCGCTAACAGATAGTGAATCCAGAGTTGGATCATTCTCTTCAGAATTACTCCGAGCTTCTTTCCTTAACCTGCACAAAGTTCCCTCTATTTTTGGATCGTACTGCAATTCACCTTGCTTAGAAAATTGAGTTACAGGCATAAATCAAGGAAACCCTAATAAACCATGGAAAACATATCAAGAAAAATCTAGAGTGATGAAAATAAATAAACAAATAAAACAGAAAAATTCTACGCTAAAATACAAACAATCAAAGGGATCTCTCATTTTTTTTTCAAAAATTTCAAGAACGAAATAGGGATCACAAGAAGCACAAAAATCAATTAGAAAAACTCCCCGACAGCGGCGCCAAAATTTGGCGTGCTGTCGTAAGCACCCAAAAATAAAACCTATACTCCTACAAACACATGCAGTAGTGCGAGTAAGGATCGTTCCCACAGAGAGTATCAAGCCTAGTTTTTGTGCTGCGTGAATGAGGGGGGGGGGGGGGAGGTTTGAGTATAACGAAAACTAGATTTAAAAAGAAAGAAAATCAAATGAGGAGCAATGCAAATCAAAATACCGAAATTAATCAAAAGAACAAATCTTAGTCTAAGTCAACATCCACCATCAGAATTTCACTACTGACCATCGATGCAAAGATATATCAATTCACACTTTGAATATTCACCGTAGGAATTATTTTCCTATCTCTCCTTAGTTGCAATTAATTAGAAAACAAGTGATCTACTTAACCCTTACTACTAAAGAACCCGAAACAAGCGTTCAAGATTTCATCCAGTAGCAGCTTTAATAATTAGAGATTGATGAAGTTAAACAACACAAGCACAAGCGGTTGCATTTAATTTAGTTGAGTGTTCTTCCTAAGATCTAGCAATTTTTGACACAGCAAATCATTAAACCCTAGTTGCTTCTTAGATTAGAGGGATCAAACAATTACAGATTTGATATCTAACCAAGCAGTAGATTGCAATGAATAATAAACTAGTAGGCCTCCTAGCGATCAGACGAAACAATCATGAACATAAACATAGAAGAACATTCGATATTCAAAGCATAAATCAATCAGTAAAAATTAAATTAGATCTCACAGTTTTGCTGATTATGAGGCTTTTGTTTCCTTCAACCAAGTATCAGAATTTAGCCACGCATGGTCATGATGAAAACTCAAGGAAGAATTGGAGAAGAAGAAGAGAGGTGTGGCAACTCAAGTTTATTTATTTTCTTGTTTTCCTTCTCTTCTTTTCTTTTCTCTCTACTTCCCATTCCCAAGAGAAGCCTACAAAATCTCCTAAAATTTCTCTCTATATAACAGTCTCCAAGTCTGACTTATCAAAAAAAATATTAAAAATAAGATAAAACAAAGTTCTAATGCAAGTGGGAGAGTGGTGATTTCCGCATATGAAAACTTGTAGGCTAAGGAACGTTTTCAGCACGTCAGCAATGCGATTGCAGCTACTTCATGCCCAATTTTGACCTCGATACAGTCAGTATATCTCAAAACTCAAAACATGAAAGTTGTAGAGCTTTTACTTGTCTTGCCAAATCATCTTGAATCATCTCAATCGAAGTTCGGATGAGAGAGTTATAACCAGATTACGAAGCAATGCCAAAACTGTCCAGAACTGTTCAATTAGCTCTGTTTTTCACTTAATGCCTCCAATTGTGCCCTAAATCAAAATATAAGAATAATGAGTCCATTTAGGCACTGAATAAGTATAAAAGATTAAACATTAAGGGAGAAAAATATGATATTTTGCATTCTCATCACGGACCGCATCTTGACCCGAAGTAGCTTCTTCGGTATGGCGATCTACGAACTAAGCCGAGGTACCCACCTTGGCCCTAGCGGATCCACCCCTCCCAATACGAGCTCTGGAATGGCGGATAAGGGCTGCTCGGGCTCTAGAACAGCAGCCTACGGAGACTCAATACGAGCTCTTTTGGAAGCTCGCTTCTTCTTCCCCTTCTTCATGTTACCGAAGAGCTCGGTCGTAGGGATTTTCATGGTTACTACAACAAAAGCAAACTATCTGAAATGGCACCGAAGTAAAACAAAGACAGCACAACAAGTGACAACCTACCAGGACTCAGACTGGCCTGCACGAGCTTGTCTTCGGTCACGTAGTCCACGAACTTGAGACCGAGCTTCGCCCAAGACCGGAGCGCTTCTCTTGTCTTTAGGTCCAGCCTGACACCGGGATCTTCGATGGCCACCCTCTAGTGGGTCGGGAAAGGCCACCCCTCAGTGTTACGGACCATGAAGTAACGCCTTTTCCAGGGCGGGACCTTGTTTGGGAGCTCGTGCAAGAGTTTGTAGCCCGGACAAGGAGATAGATAGTTAGTTCGCCTGTGTTTAGGCAGAACACAGGAGGAGTTCTTCTTTATTGAGAGAATGGAAGAAAAGATATCAAGGTCAAGAGGAAGGTTATAGTCGTGGAAGAGGGAGATGGTTCCTACTACATTGCGAATGGAGTTCGGGTGCAGCTAATCTATGGAAATGTTAAAAAGTTTTATGACTTCGACAATCAAGGGGTGAAGTGGAAGATGAAGACCAGCAGCGAGCTGCTCCTCGTAGATCACGATCTCATCGTGACCGTGCTCCCAAGGAAAGTTACCTAGGGGAATGCTATAAACTAAGTTGTTCGGAAGCCTATACCGAGCTACTAGGGATAGGAGCTTGTCCGCCGTCATTGTTGATAGGCCAAAGTTATCTGGCTACCGACCTCGATGCGAGGTGGATGCCAGATCACCTGAGGCCTCTCACGCCTCCCAGGGTGATTCCACCTCTGGAGGATTGCAGACCGCATCTTAACCCGAAGTAGCTTCTTCGGTATGGCGATCTACGACCTGAGCTGAGGTACCCATCTCGACCCCAACGGATCCACCGCTCCCATCTAAAAGACTGTCAAAACTAAAGCTAGACATGAGAAAGACACGGAATCGAAACGGAGAGCTAGGGAAGACTCACCGAAGAGAGACCGAAAGAAGACCGAACTGAAGAAAAATGACCTCGGGAAGACACCAAACTAAAGAACTTGAACGCGACCTTAGATCGAAGGCTAGTGAATTTGTGGCCAAGCAAATGAGTCTCGGGCCCCCTATTTATAGCCGTTGTATCCGAGAGTCAACGATCAAGATCAAAGTGATCCAACAGCTCCTAGGAAAATCGGCTGTGCGACCCCCGAGGTTGAAATTGGTTTAACGCGTGTTTTGACATCCGTGGAGTTTATAGATTGTGTGACGTCCGCGCATAGACTAGACCCGACCTAGGTTATTCTTGGTTGAGCCGGGTGGCCGAACAGGTCCGACTAGCGATTCGCCCGACAAGCCGCCTAGATCTCGGACCAAATCCACTCGTCATGAACTTCCCACACCAAGTTGGGACCCCTGGCTCGGGGAGTGAGGGGCAATTGATGAAGGGTGATTGGGCCTTTCCTAGTAAAAAGGGGACACATAGACACAACCTGACTAAGAGATGACAACTCAGCCTAACAAGTTCAGTTCGCAACAATGGAGCTCGCGTATTTAGTCACCTCGGCACAAAGGCCACAGCTTAAGGATCACCTCGGAGCAAAGTCACCTCGATGCAGGTCTCACCTCGGCATCGAGGCACCTTGGTATTCAAGCCAGTTTGGAACTAAAAGGCCGAAGACCAGTTCGGAACCAGCAACTCGAATCGACACGTAACCAATTCTAGAGGCCTCTCCAACGACTCCCGAATCCCTCGAGATCACGATAAGCACTTATCCTCACTCCGCCGGGATCGGAGGAGGAACGAGATATGCCTTACCTGTATGTTGTTCCTTCGAAAGTGG